TAGCCCCATTTTAGGTATTCTAATCAGTTATAGGCAGAAGATGGGCTTATAAACTGAAAGCTATTTTAAGACATTAAGAAAGCATCAGTTTACTGATGATAAAAATCACATCTAAGTATCCAGCACTTGGATTCCTGGGTGGCACTGTACGATCAGCAATGAACTGTAAACTAAAAGGCCGACAGTTCAAACTAGCAGCTGCTCCTTGGAAACCCTACACAGGGTCACTATGAGTCAGAAGCATCTGGATGGCACTTCACAACAACAACATACAGCACTTACACTCACAAAGTTTGTGATAACAGATTATTTGCAACCCACTTTGTTAGCTTCATTTTTCAGTGGGATTTAATTCATTTATTTGTTTGCTCCAATACTAAGTACCTACTTATATGCAGGGCACCAGATGTCTATGTCTGAGAACATTAGTTGTATGGCCAACAGCAGCTTACAGCCGACACAACCAAGGCCCATTTGTGCAGGAAAGACCAAGTCCCACAGCAAACCTGCCAAATTCACTCCCAGAGCTGAACACTGCTTCCTCCAGGGACCCGTCTCCCACTATTTATCCTACCTGCCCAAAGCTAAAACCACTGATGGGCTGCTGATTTCCAGAGAAGAGTGATAACACTTTGGTGCATTTTCTCTGTTAACTATTTTTTTTAAAAAGTTTTTATTGTTAATTGATTGTTTACATGGGAGAACATCATCAGCTTTACATTCATCCTATTATATTTTGTTTCATTGCAATGATTACAATCCCCTCCATGCATCATCCTCCAACAGCATTTGCTTCCATTCCCTCTGGTCCCAGGGATCTCTGCTCCTGGACTGAAAGATCAATCACTCCTCTCTCCTTTTGTTACAAAACATCTACCTTTACATTTGCAACACTCATAGTCAGTCCTGATAGCAATCATTCACTATTGAACCACAAGAGTCTTATCCCCATCTCCTTTCATCAGGCTGGAAACCATTCAGTGGAGGTTCTAGCTTTCCCCGCACCCTCTGGAAAGCTTGTAAGCCAGTCATCTCTTGCCTTTGTGGTGGCAGTGTGCCATGGAGTCAGTTTCGACTCATAGTGACCCTGTATGGGGTTTCCGAGGCTGTAAATCTTGACGGGAGCAGAACGCCTCATCTTTCTCCCGTAGTTTCAAACTGCTGACCTTGCGGTTTGCAGCCCAATTCGTAACCACTACGCTACCAGAGCTCCTTGCCTTTGTAGCCCACCTATTTTGGGTAGCTAATGTCTAAGTTGCCCATCCCTCTCAACCCTGTGTACTGAGGAGGTGGGAATGATCCTCACTGTAAAGATTCGTTTCCTCTTTTGAGCTACTAATTCCAGAAGTATAGGACAAGTTCATCAAATTGTATCAGATTACTCTTTATTTCCTCTTCTTTCTTCCTCTAGGCGAATTCTGATCATCCAACCATTGAAGCCAGGTCAAGTGGGTACAATCTGCAAGTATGGGTGTTCTTGTGCATCTCCCCTCACTTCTTATCAGCTGGACACTTCACTCTCTGCTCTAGTCCTCTGTGGCCATGTCCCTGTCTCTGGGCCTAGGAGTACCCAGGTCTTGCCATATTGCTGGCCAACCAGGTCTCAATCAGGTTGACAGGAGTCTATTGAACATGGTCGGACTTAGCTCACAATTTCATTGCTGTTTTTCCCTACTTCCCCTTATCAGCAGACCAACAGGGTCACCAGCAGAACCACATGCCTGCTCATGTATTCCCCTTGAGTCTCAGTCTTGGAAGGGGGTTTACCCTGATGGGACCCAACCACTTGCCTTGATGGCTCCCCTGTGAATTAACTTGCTTGTTCCTGTAGTAGTCAATCAGGCTGCCATTATTGTTTTTTATTTTTCCTGCTGGTCTTTCTTTCAAAAAGTATCTTCTGTTCTTCTAGCCTCTCCAGGCTGGTCTGTTTGTCCTTTCAAGTGGAAATTTCCCACCTCAGAAGATTCTGGATGGGGATCAGGATTCCACCTATGATCTTGTGCAATGTAAAGGCTCCACAGGAAGCCTCTTTCACTGGGCAACTTCTAGCCCCCTTTAAGGTATTCCAATCAGTTATAGGCTGAAGACAGACTTACAAACTTTCTATGGTGATGTTTCTGGCTACTCCTTTCTGTCCCCCTCAAGTATCTATTTTACAATAGTAGGCAAGGGAAACCAAGGTTCAAAAGATAAGTCAAGCATCTTAACATTATTTTCAGCTAACTACTTGGGTTGTTTTTTTTTTTTAAGGTTTTACTGTGAATTGAGTGATGGTTTACATGGGAGGATATCAGTTTTACACTCTTCCTATCATATATCATTTCACTGCAATGATTATAATCCCCTCTGTGCATCATCATTCAACAGTATTTTCTTCTATTCCCTCTGGTCTTTTTGTGGGATTTTGGTTTTGGATGTACACAGAAACACACAGGAATATATAATCATTTAAACAATTTGGCAAGCCTGCCTCCTGGCCACTAGCACACAGCCTTTCTCTTTCCCTGAATCTAGAGTCCTCAGCTGCTCTATCTCTCGATGTCCTCATCTCTGCCTCCATCTCTGGTGTTGCTGCTTCTCTGGAGAGGGTCCCACATTCCACTCATGCTCTTCTTCCTCAATGGTCCTTGGGTCCTTTGTTCCTGGAATATAAGATTAACTAACCACCTTTATGTTACAAAATGTCTACGTTTACAGCTGTGACAGTAGCAATTAGTCATGATAACAATTATTCACTATTGAATCATAAGAATCTTATCCCCATCTCCTTTCACCAGACTCATCTATACAAGATGAAAACTATTCAGTGGGGATTCTACCTTCGCCCACACACTCTGAAATGCAACTCCCTCTTGAAAACTTGTAAGCCAGTCACTTTGTGCCTTTATCACCCCCTTCATTTTAGGTCGTAAATGTCTAAGTTGCCAGTCCCTATCTACCCTGTATACAGAGGGGATAGGATTGATACTTGTTGTGAAGACACCTTCCCTCTCAGTTGGTATTTTGAGCTACTACATCTA